ATTTTAGCCTGTGAATAAGACAGATGCAACCTTGACTTTTGTACAAAATAAAGGCGTAAAATAAAATCAAAATTAGGCAACAAGTCTTTTGAGAAATAATAAAACTGGTCCAACAAACAGCAACTCTCCTGTCGACAGCTAAACATGCGTAAGATATCTGAAAGTACCTGGCATGGAGACACTGTTGCAAGATAATGAACCAATAGCCAAAAGAAGAGATTGTGCAATGTTGTGGACTGGCACAAAACAGCCCTCCCACTTTCTTTAACAGCATAGCTCATAAAAAAAATGTCAATTCTGTTATTTATTTATTTATTTTTACTCACTCTTATATCATTTCAAATTGGTATGGCAAATATATTCTTCAAAATATATATTTTTTGGTGAACTGTCCCTTTAAGGAGTGTGATTATGTATTGTAGAGGATTACGGCCACAGATCATTCGCAGAAAGTCATCTGTGGGCACGGTTAAAATTAACCTTATTAGTATCTATTTCTGGATTTAATACTACTGTTTCCGGCAAATGCTTATGCATTTGGATTTCAGTTTTGACAGTCTACACCTGTCCACCTTAAGACTCTTATATGCATCAGAATATACAAAACATAGTGTTCAGCTTAATGTGGGCAAAGCTTGTTTATTTGTATTTAGATTTTTCAGCTGTTCTCCTCCACTTTTTGTGGGGGAGAAAATAAGTGCTTACTTTTTTTTTGCCAGAAAAAAAAAAATGTAGATTTTGTGTCAGTTTTTTTTTTTTTTTTTTTTTTTTTTTAAGGATTTCTATACAAGTAACTTTCCCAGCTTGGGAAAAGATACAGTACATTGTGAGAACTTATAAAAGTTTTCCATTCACATATTAAACTTTGCCCAGGGCTAAAGGTCACCTTTGACAATGATTCTCTGAATGCCTGTTATAGTCCAGGAATCTGTTTCTAGGTAACAAAACCTCGGCATCAAGAAGGTTTTATAACTTTAAAAGTTTTGTTTTTCTCCCTAGTGTATATTTCCTTTCTATATCAGAATTTTTTAAAGCGCATATGTATTCGCTGTGTGTCATACATCATCATTATTTAACAATATAGATATGCAATATACACTGTGATGTGATCCATGCCAAAAAGTTTGTGCCAACCTCCAGCGATGTCATTTATGGCACGGCTGCCACGGTTGTATTGTTTCAGTGCTCTCTCCTCTCTATCTTCCTGTGATAAATGTGAACAGTGTCCAAAAAAAAAAAAACATTTTCAAAAATGTTCAACTTTATGATGCCAAGACCAGGACAAGACCCAAGAAATAAACACATTACTGCAAGCTTACAGTGGCTTTGTACCAAAACCTAGTGAACTGCCTACAGTATATAGCCATCATCCTAACCTCATAAATGACTGATTTGGACTGCTTAACAAGACAAATAGCAGGACAAACATCTCACGAAAAAGCATGCAAAGTTCACAGAAACTCAACTTAAAATTGTTAATTGCCTTTATAGCCCGGAACACCAAGCCGACGCCAACGAACTAGCGCTGATGAAAGCCGACTGTGTTGTCGCCTCTTGTCCGCTCTCGTCGAGGTAAAAAGCTGCACTTGAACACACCGAGAGAACTGCAGCCGACTGTCAGCTAGAATGCGCGTTCTGCGGCGGTGTGTAATGAGTCTATTTCTGCAGATATATTAGTCTATATTCGTCATTCAAAAAGGAAAACCGACGCTGCCGGCTGCAGATACACATACCGTAAACAAAGCAGCGCGTGCTTACCGTTTCGAATATCAGTCCTGCTAAACACTTTCTTTATTCCACTCCGCTCATGTTAATATTGAAATATTCGCCAAGGAACACTCGGGTAAGAAGACGTAACATAAGAACAGCCTTAAATCTTAACCGTTTTGCTTGCTGTTTTGCTTTTATTGTTGTGCACTGACTCTTTCACTAAGCTGAACAGCCAATCAGAGCTCTCTTTCCCCAACGGCCCGACGCCGATTCAACATGTCGAATCGACCAAAACAAAGCCGACGAGGACTATTTTCAGCCGACGGCACGGAACCGCGCGGAACATACCGAGGAAACTTAGTTGGCCGACGCATAAAATCTGCCAGACGGCCGACCGGTGTGTTCCAGGCTTATGACGTTGAAGCAGTGTTGGGAAAAGTTTTAAAAGTAATGCGTTACAATATTGCGTTTGGCATGTCTGTTTACACTAAGTGCAAAAAGTCACTTGGCAGAGGCTATTTAAACTATCCGACACCCAGTCCGAAATTCTCGCACGTTAAAAAATAAATACGACCTCACGTTGGATCAATCACGTTTACACACTGCCTCCGAAACTTTCATCTCTCATAAAAAATTTCAGATTGGGTTAAATTTTCGGCGTATTTCGCATCTGTTGCATCTTGAGAGGTATTCTGACAATTCAGAGTCACTAAATTACAAATACGAAAAAACACACCTGAAAATTTCTGCCTAAGGGCTTGATCTAAGCACATGATAAAGCACACTGTGCAAGTGCTCTTAGGGTGTATCCAAATGCACTTTTGCTAGTTTAACGACGGGTAAAATGGTTGGCGCATCCGGCGCATGGTCTAAAAGGGTTGTCCCTATACTGAGTAATGGGTGTGTTTTAGAGCCAGACCGATATATCGGCCGATATTAGGCATTTTCCAAAATATCGGTATCGGCAGTTATAATGGCCGATAAATGAATATTTAAAAAATTTAAACGGACGAAACACTCTTCAATCATCTCTCCTTGGCCTGTTATATTGAAAATGTATGTTTTACAATTTGCAGTATGATGTTATCTATTGCTAAATTATGGCTCATCATAGACTAGCTAACCACAAAGCTAGCTAATGCCACTATCATTAGTGGAAGACCGCTAACGTTAACATTAATGAGCTTGGAAACAACAATGAACTCTAGTTACAGTCCCTGCATTGTAAAATGTAAGTTATATTTGCTAGGAATGAACATTTAGACATAAAGAAAATGTATCAAACGTATCTTGTGCAGAAAAGTTAGCTTTTCTTTTACACGTGTGTGAAATCCAACAATATTTAATAAAAAAAAAATATCGGCCGATATATCGGAATATCGGATTTTAAAACCCCAAAATATTTGTGTCAGTATCGGCCTTCAAAATCCTTTATCGGTCGGGCTCTAGTGTGTTTTGTACATAACGTGCGAAAAAAAATGTATGATTAATGTATGATTAAACTTCACCTGTGGGTATATAAACATCTTTTTTTAAATTATATAAAAAATATTGTATTGTACTTTATTTTTATTAATACTTTTCAACATTGAATGAATTACATATTTTTGAGATTTTTCTTGTTTGTACTTGATTTTATTTGTTTTACTGAGCTTAGTGTAGTGCACTCTGGGATTAGAATTTAGTCAAAACTAAATATATTAGAAGACAGCATAATGCTGTAACATTCTACATACACATGTGTGCAGCGTAATGAGCTTGCTGTACACCATATAGGAAAGCACAGGCCTTGATAGTTTCCAGCAATCATTGACTAATTATTATGATATCAGGAACCTGATTCATTTGCTTGATGTTGAGTAATTCTCAATAGTCATGAGGAAGTTGTTTGTTCTGAAGAAGATATACTGTATTGTTACCTGTCCTGTCTGGCTTACCTGTTATGACATACTGTTGCAGACGTCACATACCTCACTTTCAAGACCAAACTGGATTGAACTAGGCTGGAGGTGGTACAATCCAAAAAACATCCTGGTGGATATGTCATAACTGTTTCAGAGAAGTGGGTAAAGCTAGAGTGTGTTTGTGCAATACACATATTAGACAGTGGGGAATTCATTATATACTCCCATTATGATAATATAAGAAAAACATGTAGATCTTATATGCCTTTTGAAGTATTAGATTTGGTGTTTAGTTCAGATCATTATTAAAAGGAGAGATAGAGGAGACTTGAGCCCCATGATTTGTTCTATGAGAGGTAGTGGTACATGAATTATGTATTAGCATTCAGCAGAAGTAACTGCTGTTTTGACAAGAGTGCTAAAATGCCTGCTGGCTCTTCTTGAATCTGTCAACAGACAGTGTGTGTATTCTGCGATACACAATCACAAGTGTGAATGTGTGATAGTGAAACCAGATTGAAGATGTGAGGGGCTCACTAGACATTTACTAGAATGAAATTTCCTAAATAAGCATGGACAGCAAAGTGAGCAAACTACTTTTTTTTACATTACATTATCCCTGCGTCCAAATATGCATACTTCCCTGCTATAGTGTGCAAAAAAAGTAGCATATCAAATGAGAAGACTATTCAAATACACATTGAACAACACCAAGATGACCTGCATGCCTAACGAATAGGCTGCTTCAGTGTTTAAGAAGTTGTTAATCAAATTAAATGTGTTAAAAGTAATTCAAACACATTTAATTTTAGCCCATATAAGGAGCAAATGATTTGTTTGACTCTTCTCAGTTGGAGGTTAATCAATTGTATTTAGCTAATTTAGTATCAATTGTATACACTAGAGAAAACAAATAGCCTACAGACCAAATTGGATTGACTAAAGACTAGTCTAGCTTGCATTTCGAGTCTGTGTGAAAGTGTCAATGACTTGTTCTTTATAGAAACTTTTGTTGATTGTGGAAGATGAAAGCATTTATACCCTAAGTGTTAAAAGGGGGCATTACATTTAGCACTCGAGTTCGCTCGTATAACAGAACGCGATGTCCTTTGACTGTCCGGGAGGAAATCGATATTAAACTTTTAATATAAATCATTTGGTGTTCCGTAACCATGTCAGCTTTCCTAGAAAACATTCAGGATAAATGTTAACAAGTCTGAGGCTGAGCTACAAACTACAGTGCATCTGTAGAGGGCGATCGACTGCTTCTCTGTGGGGAAGAAAGCCTGTGAGTTGATTGGTTGTTTAAGCAATATAGGCGTGGCTTGGGCGAAGGTCTTTCTACAAAACCAAAATGCGACGTGAAGAAAGTTTCATTCCGCACTGACTAGATAGATAACAAACACAGAACTCCTGATTTATTGTCAGTCTTTGTAGCGCTGAGTACAAACCACATATTAACTAGCTTAAGAGCAGTTTCTAGCAACTCGGCTCTACGGGAACAGGGCTTTAGAGGAAACATTACTTATTGCGGGTTATTTTCTTAATTTGGATTGAATCACGGAGGGTCTAACGTTATAATGGATCTGGTGTGGCTTTCATACATCGCAGCGAGTATGTGCGCTTTGCTTGCCTCTGCTGAGAGACACACTGTTTTCTGGAATAATACCAACCCCAAGTAAGCTAAAGTACTTTTTTATTTATTTTTATTTTTGTTGTTGTTGTTGTGAGAAAAAAAACAGTTTCATTGTAATGTTGTGATAATGCTTAATGTTATTTACTTTGGCGAACTCCAGCATAATTTGGCTTTTTTTTGTTTACTTTTAGGGTTTTATGTAAATTGTCTTTTTCCTCTATGTGTGTGTGAATGTTTCTTTGCAGTTTAATGCGGGTTTGCAGTGTATAATTGGTAACTTACGTTAGGTCTGCAGAATTGGAGACAGTACAGTAACGTTACTTGTTTACATGGATGCGTTTTGAAATTTCGTGTGACATCTTTACCTGTAACAGATTGCATAATCCAAACACTCTTATTATGTCATAATCTCTCTACTCACCGGAATGTTTGTTTACCTATCTGTGTACATGTGAGCCGAAATGAAATCTGCCTTGAAACGAATTGTTGATGGGTGTGTGCTGACTAGGCGTTCTCGTGCACAAGTAATAGTAGCAAGTTATGGTTTGGGCCATATTAATTTAATGAAACTCAACAATAAGGTACCCTCACGGTCTTGCCATATTAGCTATATTTGATGTTGTTAATTCATGAGTTGAAAAAAAAAAAATAAGACCGAAGCGATAAATAGGCTACGAGGAATCTTCCTGGAGTGTTTTGCTTTTTTGACGTGTGGCTATGAGTCAGAGAGGTGTTGAAATAGGTGCTGAGTGACTTTTCCGATGACTGATACGCGCAGAGCTGATGACTGGAGCTGGGATTGCAAAACTAGAATTGCCGATACGAGGCATAAGCAAATGAATCATTTCTTGATGTTTGTAAAGATTTGGTTGAACCGAATCACCGAGCGTTTGCGATGGACTGAAAGGAGTTCGTTTCAGAGTATACAATGTAAGGTGTTGCCATCTATTTTCCAACTGGTAGGTAATGTAATATGTCAAAACAAACTCTAACAAAGTAGTGTATGTAACTAAATACAGCAATATTTAACCAAACTTTAAACCACAGAAAGCATATACATTTTCTCTCATGGACTTCAAAGAAGTCCATGATTTAAACCTGTTCAATGAAACGAACCGTTTCGTCCAAATGAATCATATTTCTTAAAGCTAAACTTGGCAAATAAGATAAGTAAATAAGTAATTATTTAGCCATTTTTGAACAATTGGTCTCAATATTCTATTCCAAGAGCTTGAAGGGATTTGTGTAGAAATGCTGATAACAGACAGAAAAGAATTAGAGCGTCTGCTCCTCCACACACACACATTCACATTTAACCCATCCACTCTTCTTAGAACAATAAAGCGTTTGCTTCAGCAGATGTAATGATTGCGCCAATGTCCAAACATCATTTTAGTGCCTGTGTAATCCACACACTTACTATTTTTATTCCACATTTTAATCTTTCTCTCTCTCTCTCTCTCTCTCTCTCTCTGTGATCTAATCCTGTTTTCATAGAAATACTAGAGGGGTTGGGGGAGATGTCTCTTTTTTTCTGCACTCTTTTTCCTGCATTTCCTTCTTTTTATGCATTTCCGTCTTTCAACACCACTAAGGAAATATAGTCTGGTAAATATCATAATGCGATTGCATTTGTATGCATTCATATATCTGATGCACATATTTGAAAGAGTGGGCTCTGTGTGTGTGTGTGTGTGTGTGTGTGTGTATAAGCCTTGGGGGAAGGATGACTCTAGGGTCGACAGACCATTGCAGCTGAGCACGCTTTGTTTTTCAGCATGAGAGGTGATTCTGAGTCAGGTCGTGTCAACGCGCATGTTTGAATTTGTTGGTGCATGTTCTCGATGTGCTTGCAGCTGCTTGCTGAAACACATGTGTTGTAGTGTTGCTCACGGTCAATAGTTGATCAACTGGAAGGTGTGTTTCAGTGGGAGTTGATTAAGGAGTGTCCTGGTGAGCAGTTGTAATTCAGCACTTCAGCACTTGTTTATGATTCACTGACTCGCTCATATATTTATTAACCAAACCTCCTCTATTAAATTCTCTGTGCAATCCTGAAGAGTGTGTTTTCTCTGTTTGACCATTTTGGAAGTACACCTATATGACTTGTAATTCATTGAAGGAATGGTTTACCCAAAAATTAAAAAAAAAAAAATAAAAATATTTATTCGTATTGTACCAAGCAGAAAGCAGTGCACCATCATTCGGCTATCATAAAAGAGCTCCTAAAGTCATTTTAGCTTTGTGTGAGGAACAGAACGAGTCATTACTCACTGTAAATGTGCCCTAGATTTCTTTGGCATGTTAATGAAAATTCATGAGACGAAGACAAAGTCCAATTCATGAACAATTCATTACTTTAAGTGGAATCTTTCCAATGTTCAATCAGTTTATCCAGTTCAAAAAACTTGTTTGTTCATGAATCACATTCTCACCAACTCAATCACCAACTCATAATGAAGCTTTTTTAGTGAATAACGTCAAAAATTTGGTTTTGTTCTTCACTTATGACATCAGAAGATTTGGCATATAGTACATAATGCACATTAACCATTTATGATTTTTTATTATTATTATTGTTTTATGATTTTGAAGCATGAAAGCTCCAGTCCCCATTTATTGCAATAGAAGACTAGTACACTGTTCTTATTCTTTCTTTTTTTAAGGTCAAGAGAGGAAGAAAAAAATGACAGAAATGTCATTTTGTTGAGTGAACTAATCTTTTAATATTACTCATGAATGCTAAAACTTTTCTATAATTGTTGTTCTTGTTATTTTAACATCACTCAAAGGCTTATAGAGATTTTTTTCTCTTTCTGTATCTCTCTTTGACTTCTCTCTCTCTCTCCTACAGTACCTGTCCTTCCCAAACCTCCTCCCTTTCCTCTGGCTGCGTGCCCCGTACCGCATGGTTAACTGGCACAAAGTTCAACCTCTCCTCGGCTCCTTTTCTTTAACTCTTTCCCTGTATCGTTTTGCTCTGCCCTGATCCCATCAGTACCCCAAAACTATCCGACCTCCTCACATTTTTGCTTCATCTCCGCTTGTCCACGATCACCCCATTGTGTTACTGTTTCACCCTGTAAAAAGGCCTTTTACATGGTTTAATTCAGCCAGAAATGGGGCTTTCTTGGTTTTCTACCAAAAAATGTCCCATTCACTTGTGTTTTTTTCCAGGGAACGGGGCTTTTTGCTTGTGGGGTTTTGCCAGCTAAGTGTTTTTTTGTTAAACGTTCCAGCCAAATTAGCACGCTCCCACCGCAGATCTGCAACAGAACAAAACCAGGGGGCTAGTGTGACCAATTGCGTGTCAGAGTTCACAGCCGAAATGAAGTGGCATTCATGCGGTGTGTCTGTCACTGTGCGCGTCTGTAGATGTGTGCGGAGAGGAGAAGTGGAGATGGAAACCGGTGATGAAGTGCCATTTTGCTTTTGTCTACATGTCACTTAGCATTAAACTCATCAGATCTGTGTGTGTGTGCGTGTTACACTGACAGTGAAAGAGTGAGTGATGAAGTGCCATTCACTCTCTGTAGTCTGTCACTCTCTCTGGTGGCCTTCAAATAGGGAGCCGCCACTCGAGCCCACCGATCTCCTGTCTGGCTTCTCCCTCGTTCCCTCCACCTTTTATCTCAGCCGTACACGCCAGTGCTTTTCATCCTTTTATTCGGTTCCTGTCCTTATTTCCTTTCCCTCTGTGAAATAAGGAAGAAAAGGAAGAATTTTTTTTTTCTTTGCCTTTCTTTAACAGCCTTGGCAGCCATAAACACCAGACTGTCTCGTTCCCCTTTGCTCCTCCCTTTCACCTTCTTCTTGCCCATTCTCTGACTCTGAATTCTACGATATCCACAGAATTCAAATGGCCGTCATTCACAAAGCTCTACAGATTCTTGCCCATTGAGTGTTTGTTTTTTTGCTAGTTTAGTGCACATTTACATTTAAAGAAATGAAGAAATGTAAATGGTCATTGTTTACTCACCCTTATGTCCATAGGCGTCAATCCCATGAGTAACTGGGGCTCAAGCTTGCACAATGATAAATTGCATTTAAAGGGGTCATGAACTGGCTTTTTAAATTTTGTTATATTGTTGTCTGAGGTCAACTTATGACGTCCGCTTGGTTTTTGCATTCAAAAACATCAAAATGAATAACTAATAGGCTATTTTGTACCCTAGTTTTGAGCCTACCTGAAAAACGCTTGGTTTTTATGGGCGTCTCGCACTGAAGACTTTTAACTGTTGTTTCGAAAACGTCCAGTTTTGTAAAATGGCAACCGGAATGATTCGACGCATACATGTTCGACCCAGAGTCTGTGTGTTTCACCATTCCTGTCAGATCCAATATAGACGGCACAGCACCGTTCTTTAATCTTAATCGGTCTGCAAATCCAGCCTTGTTTACAAAACAATCCTCAGTGAAATGAAGCGAACGGACGGACAATGTTTTACCCTCATCAGCTGGAACGTCATTAAAAATAAAGTTTACCCATGCAGTCCTATTGGAATCCAGAGGAACCCAGTCTTCTTCCACAAACAGGCACGGCACAATATTTTGCATTGTTCGCTAGCTTGATCCGATTTGTCATCACGAGGTAGGCATCTATGTTATTTAGCTATGCGTGTAATGTGCAAATCGGTGGGCGGGGCTAAACCGGCCGTGTTGAAGTAGGCGTTGAGCTTCTTCTGCGGGGGTGGTGTTTTATCCTTCTTTGACGTCATAGTTCCCCACTTTGAAAAACGAGTCGTTTGCTGGGGTTGGTGTCAATAAAAGCTTTTATTGGACGTTTTCAGTTCTGAAGCTTACAAGATATTCTTATAATATGATGACCTCTTAGGAAATTTTGATTTCTCAGTTCATCACCCCTTTAAGTAATTAACTCCATAGTCATCAGCAGTGGTGTATCCTGGCATAGGCAATATAGGCAGCCATCTAGGGTGGCATTGGTCACTATAAAGGGCACACGCAGCTTCATGGAGTATTGGCACCAACAGGCAGAAACATAAATCGGCACTTCAGTCATTCGAAATCCAACTGAAGATCAA